AGTTAGACAGGGGGGCAAACCCAAGGTAAAACCAAAATAATAATTTTTAAAAAAAAAAAAAAAACAGAAGAATTGGGTCTTTCAAGCAGCATTCAGGAATGGGAGGGGGATGGGAGGGGAAAACCCATTCGAGGTGAAACCCTGCAGCCCCGTCAGTGAAAGCTGAGACCCACCTTCCGAGAGCCAGCGGGGACTGGAGGAGCACTTCCTCACTTTCTCCTCTTCCTCACCTGGGCCTCCCCTCCATCACTCCCCTCCCCACCACTGGTTCTGTTCCCCTTGGGATTTGGCAGTATTCTCTTCCTCCTGGCAAAGGCTTGGCTCAAACAGAAAACCATCCCCCTGGGGTAGGAGGGATGTCACCCGAAAAAGTGGGGACCATGGGCTGTTTTTGGGATGTTACGGCCCTGTGGCAATGGGCTGCTGGTCCCTGTCCACCCTGGGATGTCCTTCTGGCTCCCGGGTCCCTCCCCAAGGAGGGCTGTGGGCCAAGCGGGGTGGTGGGGCTGTGGGGGGGAGCGGGCCCGTCGCCCGCCCCCGGGGCTCAGTCCCCCGACGTAAAGGAGCCGTTGGAGGTTTCAGTGTAGAAACAAGTGCTGTGGGACGTACTGGTGAGGCTGTAGGCAAAATATGCCACGGCAGAGCCCAACGTCAAGCCTGTCATGTAGGACACGGTCATGGTGTTCCCTGTGGAAAGGGACACGGAGGGGGGTGTCAGAGCGCGCTGGCCACCCCGTATGGGATTCCCAGGAGGTCTCAGTCCTACCTGCCAGCTCCCGCTGCTCAGGGCTCACTTTGCCGGCGGCCAAGATCATGGGGACGCTGCCGAAGTAGCCGTTGGTGATGCCCATGAGGAGGGAGAAGATGCAGGGCCAGGCGGGGTGGCCGAAGGTGGGTTTCCCGTTGGGGTAGACGCACATGATGAAGAGGGGGATGAAGACCACACGGAGGCAGGAGTAAATGAGGAGGTGGGTCCCTCTCCAGTCGTAGGGCAAGGCAGCCAGGATCTGCAGCAAGGGGCAGAGACCATGATGGGGGTCATGGGTGCAAAAAGGAGCCTGAGGAGGGCAACATGTTGCCCAAAATGGGTCAGCAGGGAGGAGACAACGTAATGGAAACACCAACTGCTGCAGGAGCTCAACCTCAGCTGTGCCCATGAGCAAACCTCACGCTAGTGGGATACCCATGGGGTGGAGATGATCCTCCGTGGACACAAGCAGCTTTGAAAAAAAGATACAAAAAGGAGGGAGGCCCCCACTGTGCTGGTGTCGGCCTCTCCTACCTTGCCGACGAAGTCGGAGAGGTTGAAGATGGCCATGATGAGGATGGGGAGCCATTCCCCCAGCGTGCAGTTGTGGATCTCCGACTCCAGCCCGGGAAAGAGGCACAGCGTGATGAAGTAGGTCATGGCAATGGAGAGCATGTAAGCCCAGATGAGCCGGGACACGACGTAGCGGTGAAGCAGCATGTCTGGCAGGGACAGGCAGCACAGCTCAGCCAAACTGGGAGCCCTCCCCTCCCAGAGCCTGAAAACCTCCCCTGCACCCCAACGGTGGCCTCCAAAGATGAGACTGCCCCATGGTTTTGGGCACCTTGAGAAAGGGATGACTCTTCCCCAGGGCTCTGGGCCACCAATCACTCTACCCTGTAAATCTGCAAAATCCCCTCCTGGCATGGTTTCCACCCCCTCTTCCCAAGCTCAGCACCCACCTCTGAAGCTGGGCCAGCTCCTCTTGATTTTGGGCCGAGGGACGTCGAAGCGCATGTAGGTGCCGCTGCCAGCCAGCTCAGCTTCGGGGCCCGGGCTGCCCTGGGGGGAGCTCGGCTGCACCCGCTCCCGGTTCTCCTGGGTAGAGGGGAGAGGGGACACCAGTGCTGAACTCTGGTGGCCAGAGGGTCCCCAGGGGCCAGTGGGGAAACCCACCCTGCAGCTTACAAATCGGATGTCCTCAGCGGTGACGTCATGGTGGACGCGGTAGCCTGTTCCGTGGTCACCGGCGCCCCGGGTTTCGGGGAGACCCTTGCAGGAGCAGGCCGTGTAGTAGCGGACGAACCGAGTGCGCTTCACCAGGAGGTGGAGGATGAAGCACGTCAGCTCCATGCCGATGGAGATGAAGAAGAAGATGACCGTGTTCTCCTTCTCGTCTGACAGCAGCAGCTTGGTGAAGATCCGGCTGAGCGAGATGATGACCCCGGCGGTGCCTGGTAGCATGGGAGAGCTATTGGCACTGAGCCCCACGGCTCAGGGACCCCTGCCAGCCTCCCACTGTGAGGATGTGATGCCTCCAGGTGTGGAGGAACTACCCATGGGTGAATTTTTGGGGGTGATGAAGCCAGTTCCTGGCAGACATCGCCACCCCCAGCTCAGCATGGCAGTGCAAATGATTTAGAAAACAAACGTTCGGGTTTGCTGGGAAGTACCCTGGGGTGTCCTTGCTTGGCTGGCAACTCAACTGGGTGCTGCTGGGCACAGCAGGGTCCCAGATGTGACTCCTTGGGGCCCCAGGAGAGCATGCA